ACTTCAGGGTTTCTCGAATTTACCTTTACTAAGAAAGTGATCACTGGAATCTGGAGGCTTAGCTGGTTACACGGCCCAGAACTGAGCTCTCTCTTTCTGCTCCAGAATTTTCAGTTATACGATGTGGACCACAGGACAGCTCTCCGCTGCAGCTGCTGTTACTGCCAACAGCCACCACTAACTGAGCAGATACTATGTGCCAGGTGCAAATCCTCACAACACCCCCATGGCATAGATAGTTTCGCCTTCATTTTACAGAGAATGAAAGGGAGGCTCAGAGAACCTTCTCCCCACCCAAGAGAGACACTTTCCCCCCTCTAATAAAATGTATGTGTGGGGGAGAGGGGATAAAGTGACAGTCCCTGTTCTTGTACATAAGTGCCTGGAGCATTTCAAACAGGCCTCCGCTATACACCAGAGCCACGGTGAACAGTTTAAAACACTAAATTTTTCTTGAGTTTTAGCAAGTCCTTAAGAAACCCTTCGTGTGTGCAGGAATTAAGAATTGTCTAGCTCTCTTTTTGCCTTCTCATGTTAAATGAAATGACCAAAGTGACATTCTTATTGCAACTAGCGTTCTTCTGAAGCCAAGGACTATGCTCTGAGGTGCACTTGTCATCTCTACTTTTATTTTCTCAGGTAAATCACCTTTGCTGGTGATTGCCGCTTACTGGCTTCAATTAGAATGAAGTCCCATGTTACAGATTTGGAAGGAAGCTGCCTAAGGAATATGTGACACTTCCCGGAGCTTGTCACATGGAGGGGGCATTACAAGCAGGCAGGTGTTTTGTTTTTTTTAAAATTGTTTGTTTAATTTTGGATGCAAAAAAGAACTATTTTCTAAGGGCAAAAGGGTTCCAAAGATCTTCTGTCCTTGAAAATGTTTAGGCAGAAGCTGGACAGTTCTTGGAAGGGATGACAGGACTAGGTCAGTTTCCTAAAATGGAGCAAATACAATGGTATTTATTTGTTCTGGTGGTGTAGGAACCCCTCTTTAATTTTAAATCGCACAGTGAAAGTCATTCTTCTCAATTCTCTTTCCATCCTTTGGATTATTTTGGTGTTCCTGTGTGTTTAACTCCTGGTTAACATTAGCAGTTTCACCCTTAGGCCTCAGGCTCTCAGAGTCTTTGGCAGCCAATAGCGCCTAGACTTCCAGTACAGTGTAACTTAGCATTTCCTTCACCAGACAAGGAACAGGAGGTGTCCGTTTCCCACAGTGATTTGAGGCATTAGAAGAAAAAAGTATGTTGACTTACAGAACATTTTCAGTAAATGATGGAGATGCCACGACTTGAAAAATCAGATTTGGGATTATGTCCTTAAAATCAATAAAATTGTCTCTATCTTGTTGAGAGTACTGAGGAGCAGCCTTATTCCCTCCCCTATAGTTGAAATTGGGATTTACATATATCGTATGATTTAAGCGATTCTGGGAAATGTCCCCCTCCCTGCCCAGCATACATCTTGTTGGGGACTGTACCTTTGTATTCATGTAACCCTTGCCCAGCTCAGTGTCCGATATAGTAAGAGCTCAAAAAATAGCTGCTAAGGAATGAGTGAACGTTAAAAGATAAATATCATGCATTTTATAACCCTGCCTCCAGTGTGTCTCACATAGACCAGGACATTGCTGCTACATTCACTGTTGCTGTTGACAACCCCTACCAACCTTTTCCTTACAATGTGACCAGCTCCACAGTGACTGCTTGTCAAAAGTGGTGACCCCCCTTCCAGAAAACTGGCGACACAAAAGATTTCCTTTTAGGTAAGTGATGGAGGAGGAAGGTGCACTTAGAACGAGAAAAGAAGAAAGCACTAGTTTTCTGAAAAGATTCCAAAGTAACAAGGAGGAGATAGTTATGATTGTTATCTCGTGAATTCAATCAGACCAAGCCAGCTAAACCAACTCATATTTCTGCCATGAAATATCTAGTTTGGCTTTCTACCCCAACCAAATCAATAGAAACGGGTGCCAAACTCCTGTTTTATTATGTGGTGTATTGGCACAGACATACTCTTGCTGTTCAAAAATAAAAGGGAATTGAGTACAACTCTAGCAGCTTCTGGAATGCTAATACACGCCAGTGAAGTTGGGAAGGATTAGACTCTCAAATTCAGGAGAAAGAGAACACGGCTCGCAGGGGCGTTAGAGCTACAACCCAAACACGATGTTTCAAGTACAAAACCCTAATTCAGATTTCTCAGAGCTGAAATGGGACTTTAGTACAATCAAATGTGCAGAATCTTCTCAAACAAATGCCTAATCCAAGAAATGCAACAAGGGTCTCATGCATTTCAATTTTTGACTGCACAGAACCCGGGACTTCTGAACTTAAGAGCACTGAGCCTGTCAAGCCCATTCCTACTGGGAAATACTTTCTATGAAAGCGTGACATCTGGGTTCTCATTCTGCTGTTCTTGACGGGTGCCAGAAAGACCAGAACAATAAAACCCAGCGTGGTAAAATCCAGAGGATGGAGAGGAGGGGTTTTCTAATGACTATTTGCTTTGTGGGCAATAAACATGTTGTTTAGGAGCTGAGTTCATGTTGAGTTAAGTTTTTGACAGTGGAATAAGGGCACATATGAGACCCAGTGCAAGCCTGCTGGATGCACAAGCTCATCAGTGCATCTCTTATCATCTGTTGCACAGACACTCAAACCCAGGTGCCGACACTGGTCCCCGAGGGTTGCTTTGGGTCTGCAGACTTGCTGTTTGGCTTTCAGTGTTTCCTTCTGTTAATTGTATCAACGCATAAATCTCTAGAGCTTCTTAAAAAGTTTAGGATTTCTGGATTCTCTTGAAAAAATTAGAAGATTTGGCCCTTGTTGACGCATGGAAGCGACTGGCTGGGGCTGATAATTTTCAGGTCATGATAGTCTCCTCGACTCCCTTTGTCTACACTGCTCTGCAAGCCAGGTCACTTTCCACTTATTACACTTGTCCATATTACTTTTCCTGTTAAACAGAAAGATTTCTCTGTATCCATGACTCTAGCAGAGTAGGAAAACAAACAGTAGCCAGAAATGGCAGTTTAAAATAGTGGAGCCTGACTTTGTTCCCTCCTCACGCAACACATTCCGTAGTAACATCTCCCAACACACCCAGGAGCCCTCCAGGGCTGTGAGTAATCTGCAGAAGTACCCTTCCCTCTCCTTCTCACTGGGTCACACTCCACTTTGGTGTAGAGTCACTGTACTTAAAACTTTGAAGGAAATTCTTATTGAATCAATCATGCATTTCAATTAATCCTAAGTATCTAAATTACTGTGTAGCTTGGAAATTACTCCTCTGAGACTAACACCTTAAAAAGATATTTGGCAAAGTAAATAATCATGCCCCTTGTCTTAACACAGTCCTGGAAAAGAGCTGACACTCCTTTCTAATGATTCCGAGTGACAGCATTCCCAATGCGGGATTAGGTTACATTTTAAAAGTTCACTTCCTATGGGTGTTTGCAGCTTATAGTTCCTTTCTCGTTAACAATATTATAAATGTTGAGGATTTCACTGAGGTTTACCCACAAATTTCCTTTTAACCATGCCAAAGGGATTGTGTCACAGTATTTTTTCCTGCAAAATTACTCAATGAACTCTCTTAGTTCTTCAATAAACTTGACCTATTAAGTATTAGAAAGTACAGGAAATTCCACTTCAAGGTAAACATCAACTACGATTGCTACGAAGGGGGAGTAATATTTTCTCAAATGACACCTAATGAGGGCTTTCCCCTTATAAAGGGTAACATGGGGTTTTTAGTACAGTTACCCGAAAGCGGAAACCTCTAAACACTGATCCCACCCTTGAAGAGATAGAATAAAAGAATCCAGGACCCCTCGCTTGCATCCAGGAAAGCGGCAGGTGCTCTATTCAGATGCCAGCCAGTGGGATGGTGAAGAGGGACCTCCTGCTCCACAAAATAAAACGGCGGGTGTGTGTCCTGTCCTCTAATTGCTCACTGCAAGGAGCCTGTTTCCCAGGAAAACAGCAGCATGTGGATAACATGAGGCTGTGCCCCCTGCCAGCACTCATCCAGCCTCTGTGATAAGAACCGAGGCTGCAGGGCCCACCCCTGGTCAGCAATGGGCCAGGCCAGTTTCACAAACAAGCCTCCCAATCATCCCATCTGCTGGCTTGTTTTATGGGCAGTTATTCCTCCAGTGGACACTTCCCGTACGTGCAATCACTTGTCTAAAGACCTGGGCAAGTGGAAGCCAGCAGTGAGCCGCCAGGCATCTGACATAGTTTCTGTCCAAGTAATGGCCAGGCCCCCAAGGCATGAAGTAGTTGACATTTTGCTCCATGACTTTTGAGTTGTACTGTGAAGTTCTTATTACACAGAGATCTTGAAAGGCAATTATAAATGTTCTTGAGAATTCCCTGGGAGGGGAAAAGATGCCCGAAGCCAGCTCACATAGGTGGGAGACTTGCCTAAGGGGGGACGGTGAGCCAAGGGTAGGAAAGAGAACAGGGTCAGTAATACCTGAGCTTTGGGCATCAGCTACACGCCCAGACACCATCCTGCTGGGCAGTGTCTAGGGACAGTCCTCCTCTAAGTCAGAGGTGGGCTGCGGGGAAAGAGAAGAGTGGGCAGAGAGGACCGGACAGTAACACTCTNATGGGCTGTGGGGAAAGAGAAGAGTGGGCAGAGAGGACCGGACAGTAACACTCTTCTGCAGCTTCTTGGTTCCCTTTGCGTTCGCCAATCACACGTACAAATGAATCTGACCATTTCCCAGGCAGGAGCCAATTGTTATGTCGCTGTCACAGGACACAGAATCCTATCCTGCGAAGCTTGCACTCACTGAAAATCCAAGTGTCAACTGACGAAATATCAGGATGGGGAGATCTCCCACCCCCTCCCCCTTCTCCCACAAGCGTACAAGGTGACGGGGGTGGGGGCGGGGGACAACTGGAGAAGGCAATGAAATCATGCGGGTTCACCAGGAAAAGACAGTGTTGGTGGCAGCAGAGTCGGCGAGTATGTGCGAGCATTACCTCTTGATGAGGCTTCCAAGAAGGTCCCGCTCAAGTCCTGGTGGCTCTGAGAACAAGCATTCTCGCATCAATAGCTAATAGGCTGTCCAACCAGATGTTATCTGGGTGGGATAAGAGGGTGAGAAAACAGACCTGTTGTATGCGGTCGTCAACTGCATCGCTACGGTAAGAGAAGGCTGGTGGTGTGGTGTCTGCTTAGCGGGGCACCTCCTGCGTAGCGAGGCAGGCCAGGTTACGTGCTTGTTTAAATCTGTTTCCTCTTGTGATCGGTAAAATACAAGTTATTATCACTCATGCATTTTAAAGGGACTTTTTTTTTTCTTTCTTTCTAGAACAGAGCATGCATCCAGCAGAAACCCAAGGAAGGCGTTCTTCTAAGCAATCTTGGAGCACACTTCTAACACTGCCTACGGTACCTGTGACAAGGCTGGAGATGATCAGGGGCAACACCAGCATCTGCAGCATCCTCATCAGAAGCTCCCCAGGAAAGGAGAAGTACTTGACCTCCCGGTAGGTCATTTTGTAGGGCCGGAGTGTAAATCCGAGGATTGTACCTAAGGGGGGAAAAAGAGAAGAAGATGGAGTCTTTTTGACACTGAAGTAACAGTCCTAGAAAAATGAATAAGTATTTGCCTGGTGATCATGCCTGTCTGGCAAGAGTAAGTTTATTTAAGCAACAAGTATTTGTTCTGTTTGGAGAGCAAGGGCTGTCCCTATCTTTTCGGTCAGCCTGGAAGGGTATGGCTGAATTCAGGGCTTCAAGGAGAACTTACAGAAAAAAACCTTTCCTGGTTTTAGCAAATGAAAATTTTCTTTGTCTAACTTAAATACAATGGAATCAGTGTTGACACGGCCTGGTACAGAGTTACAAAGATTGGGGGCATCACTAGGAGGCAAATGATGTATCCCTAAGCAGGCAATGCAAAGAAATAAAAGCCTTATTATAATGAAGTTGCTTCGTAACAACAGATGTTAGAAAGGCTAACCTATCTACTCATTGAGGGTAGTATGATTTTATTTTTTCCAGTTAAAAACACCCTCTTCTTGTTCACATTGCTAGTCGATTTTCATCATTTCCCTGCTCGCACACCACAGTTTCTGTCTATGTGGTCTTGGTATCACCTTGGCAACTGGATTGTACAGACTTGTTAGTTGCTGGCAAGAGAAGACTGAAAAATGAGCAGAGATTTTTTTCCCAAGTATTTTCCCTGAAAACAGGAGAAATTAGGGGAAAGAGAAAGCAATTTTTTCCTTAATTTTCCTTCTGCTCCTGAAACTTTAAAATATATTTTTAAAATAAAAACTTTATATGTAAGTCAAATTGCACATGCTACCTTTTGAAATGTTTGGAAATTAACAAAGGTATTGAATACATTAACTACGTCTCCCTTTTCCCTAATTTACTTTCCTTGCCCAAGAAAATTTAGTTATTCCATTATCATAAATATTTTAAGTTTTTTGGCTCAGCTATTACTAATATGTGTGTCCTAGAGAAGTATTAGAAGCTACTGGTTAGGGGATTGGGAGAGAATACTGGGTAGACACAAGCTTTCCCATAGGACAGAAACAGTCCATTAGGGAAACCGAACCATCCTAACTTCTTATGAAATGGGACACAAAGCTCATTTCAATCATCACTGCAACCCCAATTTCAGCTCTGGGGTCTCATCAGCCATGGCGTATCTATTCTTTGATGACACACTGTGATACTCCAATTAAGAGCCTGAGTCTGTTGACTAGAAAATCTGGCTGACCCAGTTTCCAGGGTCTTTGGGAACACATTGATTGCTTTTTTCCTAATGTAACAGTAATATGTTCAAGAGAGAAAAGTCGATTTAGAAAGTGTAGAGAAGTGTCAACAGAAGTCTGCCCATATTGGGTCCACCACTTAAATGGCGAATAGCTAATGCTTAACCGAGCTCTTAGCACACGCCAGGCATTGTTGGCCGAGCTTTATTTGAGCCAGAAAACTTAATCCTCTCAAAAAACCCAGGAGGTGGGTGCTGCTTAGTCACTAATTTACAGATGGAGAAACCCAGCCACAGGGAACTTAAAACTTGCCCAACGCCAATAGCTATTCAGTCTCAAAGTCAAATAGCTACTCAAGTGGCAGAGCTGGGAGTTGAACCCAGGCGGTTTGGGCTCAGATGGCACCTTTCTGACCACCTCACATGCTTCCTCCTCTCCAAGCAAGGCAGAGACAACCGTGGCTAGTGAGTTTCTTTCCTGAATGTTTCCATGCAAAGTTCAATACATGGAAATCGCGCAGAATATACTTTTCCATATGTGGTCACGATAAACTTCACTTTCAGGCCTCACGGCACCACACCCAACGATTGTGTTAAAATTTACTTAATGCTGCCTTTGCTGTTGAACACTGAGCTTGTTCCACATTTTCCGCTTTTGTAAAGAACACCGTGATGAATATACGAAAGCTGTTTTATATCTGGGAACATTTTTTTTTTAGTACAGTTTAGAGAAAGGGAACCAGTGCCTTAAAGAATATGATCACTTAATTCATGTTATCCAGTTGCTTCCCCAGTGGGTTGGCCCAGCAGTCTAAGGCTCTCCTCCCCTCTTTAACGCATTTGCACATAGTGCATGAAAGGCTTTATTTCCTATACCTCAAGAGCCAAGGGTATTATCATAAAAGAATCTTAAAAAAAGCAAAATTTATAAATGTGATGAGTAAACAGTATGCATTTTCTGTTTTCCTTTGAATTTACTTAATATCTAATAATGTTGACCATTTTTCCTCATCGTATTTTCTCCAAGAGCTTTCTAAGTCCTAATAGTTTAGGAGTTTACGTATGTGTATGTATGTATTTGGTATAGATTCTTTACATAATCAAGATAATTACCCTTTGCCTATGTACAAAATATTTGCTAAAACTATTTTTCTAATTTGCTTGCCATACAGTATTACTTTAAAATATACAGATGATTTGCATTTTTATAAAACAATGTCTGTGTACCTTTTTTATTAGGTGATTTCTTCAAGAGTTATAAACTTTAATTTCCCTCCCCCTCCCAAGTTTACTCAATCTCTAAGTCGGTTTTACTTCTTGGATTGTTTGCTTGCTTTGTTTTGAGATATTGAACTTTGACTCTCCCTAAACTTGGTTTGGGGCAAGGCGCTGGATTCCATTTCAGTGCGTGCAGAAATTATATAAGGCTCTGGTTATATCTGGATCCTCTCTCTCACAGGGAGAGAAGTGCTTCATCTTCTAATAAGGAAGTAAATCAATAAAGATTTATAAATTTTACTTGACTTCTAGTCAAATGTAATTTCACTGGAATTATGTTTTCTGGCCTTTATTATACGCACAGTGAACACAGTAAACTCGTTTTGGTCATCTGGAATCTGAACATATGAAGCTGTTAGAATTTTTGATACCCTCCAAGTAACAATTTAAGGCCAGGCTTGGTTTTACAAGATCATCTCTAAGTTGACTGTTACTAGAAATGTATTTATTCATCTACAACAATATTTCCAAGGGTGAGTAGGATCCAGGCTAGTCGGGAAAACCTATTTAAGTTATAATTTAGAAAAAAGTGATAGAGTAAGCTGCTCTACAAATGATACAGATTCTAGGAGCAAAAGATAAGTTGGTATAGGTGAAGAGATTATTCTTTCTAAATAGTAGGGGTGCTTGATCCCATCCCCCAAAGTCTAATCTCTGCCAATACTGACTCTCCTCCCCTCTCTACAACCACACCAGCTGCACATATCCAGCCTCTTTCTCTCCTCTCCCCCCATCAAACCCCACGTTTCCTCAGTGCAACCTGTTTTCATCCAGGTGTCAGGAGGGAAAGTGAGCCAGCTCAGTGAATGGATTCTGGGCAACGTGTGAATGACCAAGTCTCTTAACTCCCTGATCTGCCAGATAAATGCCTAACAGAGCAACAGCAAGACAGTCAGGGAGCCAANCGATCTGCCAGATAAACGCCTAACAGAGCAACAGCAAGACAGTCAGGGAACCAAAGTCTCCAGAGGTGGTGATGGTCTTGCTTGGAAGTACAGTCCTGAACATCACAGACTCTAGAATGTCTCAGTTTCTTTACATTCTCAATGAAGAAACCACCTTTTCTAAAAGCTCCTATTTATAGTAGAGACAGCTGAGGAGACATCACTTATTTATAAGGGATGGTTTTAAGTCAAATGCTTTGAAGACAGGAGTTGTTTAGACTAATAAATACTGTTAATACTTTAAATCACTTTTGTCCCTGACTGTGCTTTGGTCTGTTTCCTATCTCTGGGTTTACCAAGTGAGCCATGTCTACTCTTGGGGAAGAGATCATTCTGGGGAAGGGGAAAACTTACCGAGCCCTCACTATGTGTTAATGGTAACATGATCCTCATTGCAACTTACTGAGGTAGGTTTTATCATGTCCATTTTCAAGATGATTACGCTGATGCTCGGAAATTAGTTAACCTGCTCAAGCTCACAGAGCTAGTAAGTGGGAGGTTCTAAACAAAGTCTTCTCCTACCTTCTAATGCCTCTCAAACGCAAACAGCTTCAATGCCTCTCAAACAACCTGCAGCCTGGGCCTGAGAACAATTCTCAAATGAGCCTGGCTCCTAGGCCTTCAGCATCTCTAACCTCTAAACAGTGGAAGCATTTGAGTAATGATCTTGGGTCTGCTAGAGGTGCCCTAGAGGCACCCAGTACATCTGGGAACCCATCACAGGTCCTACGTATGAGAACCTCAAAATACAGTTATTTGTGCCAGGTTACTATTGAAAAGGGCTACACTAAATCCCTTTTTATGGAACAATTTAACTAAACTTATATAAAAAATTTATTAATTAAAATAGCCTGCCTTTCCCTCCAAAGCACACATTTTAATTCTTGGAAACCATCAGCAGCAAAGGCGGAAAGGACATTGCATAAAAACCTGCTTCGCTTCCCTGTGTAATGACAATAGCTAACAGTCTTCAGCACGTGCAAGATGCTAAGTCCTCACAAGGACACTGCCTCACAGAGGCCACGGGGCCAGGACTATACCTGCCACTCACAGAGGAAGAACTAGAGTCACTGAGAGGCCAGGTAACCCCCCGAGACCACACAGATGGTCCAGGCTGGGGGTAGAGAGGGGCCAGTCTGCATCCCCAAGGCCAGCTGGGTGCCTGAGGTAGTCTTCACACCCATGCTCTCCAGCTCCTGGCCCCAGACTCCCACTCACTGTGCCGTACCACAGCTTCTTGTTGGCCATGGCACTAATTTAAAGGGCCCAAGTGGATACCCAATATAATGCCTGGCTTTTTGTTCTATTTTGAAACAGCTTAACTCAATGCAGAGCGTAAGCTGGGAACAGGTTTTGTTGATCTTACTTAATGAAGTCAACATCTAGCATTTTGCAGTTCATTTGGTGAATGAACAAACAAAAGCCATTCTTCAGTTTTCTGCTCCGATGGGCAGTGTCAGGGTGAAGTCAGTGTGATAAGGTCAGCGGCTATCAGCATCGAATC